TGTGTGTGTGTGTGTGTGTGTGTGTGTGTGTGTGTGTGTGTGTGTGTGTGTGACCTGCTGCAGGATACAAAGTCCTGCAAAAGCATTTCCTACCAGTTAGCCCAGCAACACACTGACACTGATACAAACACAGTGTCTCACACGCACACACACAGCAGGGCTCAGCCCCTCCAGCAGGGGGCAGCAGGAACACACACATCTCCCTAGGGCCAGCTTGGATGAGTTCCCATCACGACCCGGCCCGGTGCTGGTGCCCCCACACGGGGGTGGGCAGTGAAGGGAAGGTGCTGATGTGATGGATTTGGAAGGAAGCACTTCAGGAAAATCAGTCAAGGCCCTTAGCCGAGCTGGGACACAGACACAGTTACCCCTGCACCACCCTGGGAGGGGAGTGGGATCTAGTGGTCAGAGCGGGTTGGGGGCTGGGCGCCAGGACCCCTGGGTACTGTGCCTGGCTCTGGGAGCGGAGGGGGGGGTCAAGAGGTTAGAGCAGGGGGACTGGGAGCCAGGACTCCTGGGTTCCATAATGGCAGAGGTTTTTTCCTGTGTCTCCCTCCCTAGAGATCCCAGCCCAGCCCCCTAGAGGAATCTGAGCGGGGTTGCGGGGGCGGGGGGGAGGTTGCCCTGCCACTTCAGAGTCATGATTCGATCCCCTCCCCGCCCCCCACGTCAGAAAGTAGGAGCTCCTCCCCACATGTGGAGGAAGCTAGTGAGTTTCTTGGGGGTCTCTGGCAGAGGTGACAGCACCCACCAGACACCCCCTCCTGGCTGCAAGGAGACCACCCCCCCACACACCCTCCTGGACAGCCCCCTGCTATGAGCGGCCCAGGGGCGCCCAGCCAGGGTCAGGAGGTGAGATGGGGCCGCAGTGGCAGGAATGGGGCAGAACTGGGGGCTGGCTACACGGGAAAAAAACCACGCTGCTCTGTTAAATATTTCCAAGGTTATCGCTGAATACAGGTTTTGGGAATGACTTGAGGGAAATAGTTTGTTTCCAAACAGACTCCATATACCAAACGATGGTGCTAATACGCTCCCCCTGCGCCCCTCCCCCATCACCCCAGTATCTGAGCATCTTCCTAATCCGCAGGGTAGTTCCCCTCCCAGGCCCGTGGGAAGGTGGGAAGCGCCGCCAGCCCCATGGCCCGGCCGGGAGAACTGAGGCCCAGAGAGACCGAGTGATGTGCCCGAGGGCACCCGGGAACGGGAGGCTGGGCCCGGATTCCTGCCCTCCCGCCTCCCCGGTCTGGCCTGCGCCTGGGTCGCTGGGCGGTGCAGGGGCGGGGCCGAGGGGGAAGGGGCGGGCCGAGGGCGGGGCCTTGGAGGAAGAAGCGGCGCGGGGGCAGGGCCGGCGGGAGAAGGGCTGGTGCAGGGGCAGGGGCCTGGGGGGAAGGGGCAGCGTGGCGGTGGGGACTCCGACTCGGGGAAGAGGCGGCGCGGGGGGTGGAAGCTCGGGGAGAAGGGGCGGGGCAAGGGCGGGAGCTCGGGTAGAAAGGGCAATGTGAGGGCGGGGCCTGGGGGAGAAGGGGCGGTGCAGGGGTGGGGATTAGAGGGCAGGGGCAGCGCAGGGGCGGGGCCTCGGAGGAAAGGCAGCGTGGCCGTGGGGACTCGGGGAAAGAAGCGGCGCGAGGGCGGAGTCTTGGGGAAAGGGCTGGTGCGGGGGCGGGGCCTCGGGGGAAGGGGCGGTGCAGGGGCGGGCCCTAGAGGGGAGGGGCAATCCGGGAGCAGGGATTGGGGGAAGGGGCGAGTGAGGGAGGGGGATTGGGGAAAAGGGACGGGGTGGGGGCAGAGTCTTGGGGGAAGGGGCGGAGCGGGGGCGGGGCCTGCAGGTGAAGGCGAAGCGTGAGGGAGGGGGCTCGGAGGAAGGGGGGCGGCCACGTTCCGGCGCTGGTGCCCCCCCCACTTTTAAGGACCAGAAATTCCCTCGCCCCTGCACACCCCCCGCCCCCAGAAATCTCCCCTTGATCCGCTGCCCGGCTCCCTGCGCTGAGCGCAGCAGCGGGGGGGAGCGCAGGGCAGGGACGGGGCGGGCCCGGGGGCTGGAGCAGTGGCGGAGGGACGCGCCCCGACGGGCTGGTTCCGAGAGCGGGGCTCCGGCAGCACGTGGCGCACAGCGTCTCTTGCAGGCAGGGAGAGTAGCAGACACCGAGGGAAGGCGTCACACGTCAGTGGGCGGGGTTATGCAGATCAGCAATGTCTGGCGGCAACACAGAGCAGCCGGCTGAGCCCAAGGAAGCGGGCGGAGAGAATTCTCTGGGAGCAGAATTCGGAGTGGAGAGTTGGTGCTTCGAGTGAGTGTATCGGAGTCACTTCGGGGCAGCGATTGCCACTTAG